TGTTGTTGTTGTTGTTGTTGTTGTTGTTGTTGTTGTTGTTGTTGTTGTTGTTGTTGTTGTTGTTGTTGTTGTTGTTGTTGTTGTTGTTGTTGTTGTTGTTGTTGTTGTTGTTGTTGTTGTTGTTGTTGTTGTTGTTGTTGTTGTTGTTGTTGTTGTTGTTGTTGTTAATGCACTCGCCCACTGTTAAAGCCTGACTTTTACTGTCACACAAAGCTCTTTAACTTTGTCTTCAGGAAATGCTATTAACTCTTTGTTGACTTCTGGCCCCTCGGCCTGTGAGGTCAGAGGTCGGCCCACGGTCAGGTCTGTGTGGCACGCGAACCTCTCTGAGCAGTGATGTTTTCTGAACGAGCCAACGTACAGTAGTCGATCAAGTATCTGGTATTATCCAGGGAGATCATTTATAGACACACACACACACACACACACACACACTCTTGCCTATTGATATATCGTGTCCTCTTTTGACCCTTTTCAAGGATAATGTTGAAATTATTCAAATTTTTTCTCAGTATTTCCTCTGGGGGGAACGCAGAGTTTTCCAGGCAGTTTTATTATGTGGGAATTTTTATTCAATTTTTTACACAAATATATTTCTATCTGTGTGTGCGTCTACATAGACTGAGAAAAATCTAAACAAGCTGAGGAGACGTTATTAAAATACCAGACCAGATTTGACATCTATTTACTCTGCCAGCTACGAACTCATGTAGAAAGAAAAGGACAAATTCCACATTTTAATTTTCAAATCTTTATCGAACCATCTATGATTGCATCAGTCAGTGTCACTGCATGACCGTTGTTATGTATGTAATGTTGTGCCTCCATTAAAATTACCCTGACGACGGCGTCGTTTAAACCCGACGTTAAAATGCATTTTATTTTCACTTTGCTCCAATAAACCAGATCCAGTTTCCTCTCGTTCCACCTGCTGGTCCCATAGGTGCCCTTCACAAACACGCAGGAATATGTTTGCACAACAAGTCACAAAGACACACTTTTAGACACAGGCCCACACACACACACACACACACACACACAAATGAGAGCAGGAGAGAATCACACACTGACCTGGGATCTAATTTTAGCGGCTCCATATCATGGAAACACCTGACTGTGTCTGTTAGCAGGAACACATCCTCCTGTCATGTGTTGAATACTCCGTTTATGAATACACACTCGTCCGTACATACGTGGCCAAATCAGGTCGACTGCAGGCTTTTATCATGTAGTTCAGCCAATCAGCTGTGAGGAACTCCAGGCTGATGTCGGTAGATTTAGAGAAGAATGTTGTGTTTATCCGACACGTGTGCAGTAACTCTGTAACTGTGTGCGAACCTGAGGATTTGGATGTCATATTTGGACAGTAGTCGAGGGTGAGGAGGGTGAGGAGGGTGAGGAGGGTGAGGAGTGGACACGGTTCCACAGTCCCAGTCTGTGTGGTCAGGGTTTGGCTTTTTCCAACATCTTGTCACAGTTTTCATAGTTTGTTGCTGAGATCAGTGAGAACGTCTGGGAGCTGAGTGAGGGGAAGGAAGCAGGTGTCAGGGACGGTGGCTGCTGAGGGACAAAAGGCATTTACTGAGGTTCTGGAATTTTTTTTTTTTTTTTTTTAAACTAAAGAAGCAAACAAAGTCTGTGATCTGACTGTTGAATTTTAGTTTACAGTTTAGTTACATTTTTTAAATGACGTTCTTTATGTTCTGGATATAATCTATGTCAACATTTAACGTTTTTCACCCCTTAATAAAATAAAGAATAAACTATTGGCTTCAATATTGAATGACGTTCTTTATGTTCTGGATATAAACTTCTATGTC